CCCGAAGACGGCCGAGCGCCCGCGGGGATGCCGGCTTTCCCGAAAGGGCGCCCACGCCCACCCGGGTCGCGTCTAGGGTGGAATGACCACCCTGGATCGATAGAAAACCAGCGCTGTGATCCCTGCCCCCAGCGCCCCCCGGCTGGGCGGGCTCACCCGAAGGCGGCTTCTACCCAGCCTGGCCATCCGTGGCCAGGTCAGACGGCACAGCCCATCGCCCCGGGCAGGACTCCCAAGCCCTGAGAGAGGCGCGCTCGCTCCAGAGCACGTGGAAGAGGAGCTGTGGAGTCCTGATCAGGGTGCCCAACGCCGAGGACCTCCATCTTCCTGGAGCCCCCGGGGTTATGGCTATGCTGCCTTGTGCTGGGCAAAGGCCTGGCTTGTCCTTTGCCTTGCCAACAGAAATATCTTTTTAATCCTTGCAGCACTCCTGCACGCGCCCTTATCTCACCCAGCAAAATCTTAGGGCAGCAGTGATCCAATTCAGGCACCCACCTCCACCACCAGAATAGCAATCCTGGGTAAATCCTGCCTAATGGGGAGAAGAGAAACAAAGTGAGGGCCGTTTTTCCTTGCCAGGCTGCCAAATGCCCTTGGAAGCTAATTTTGCCAGTTCTTAAATTATTGTACCGTAATTCTGACCTCCTGACTCTTTTAATATTCATATACATTTTTTCCCCCGACATTGTTTTCTGCATTTCTGGGTGAAATTTCAGCAGTGGAATTTCTACTTGCCCCAAAAGATTAAAGGGATCCTAGTGAAGGAGAAGCATTACACCCTCGAGTTTGAGAATCCCTGCATTAAGCCAAAATCAAACCAGCAATATTATGGCTTTATTATAGCCATGTTGGAACCTTAAAAAGGATCATCGACAAACTATAGGGGGTAATCCTTTTATTACTGCTGACTCAATGAATGTCGTTTTGCCAAGACTTAGTAACTGCTTCTTTTAAGTTCTTGGAAGCGCCTGCCCGTCATCATTGATAGTATCTAGCCACCTTGCCTTCTGTCAGCCTCTTTTATTTCTTTAATTTTTCCAGGCGTTTGATTCCTGTAGATATAATCCTGGATTTTAAATATTGAACAACAGACCAGCTTTACAACTTTGCTTCATCAAGACATTCCTTAAGTCTTTGTCACTTCCAGCCATAAAAGCGGTATCCTCAACATCTCTTGATGGTTGTTGATGGTTCTCCCAGCAATTTTAATTCCAATTTCGATTTCTTCTAGGCCATCAGTTCTCATGATATATTCTGCATATAAACTAAATAAATAAGCTGACAGTATACAATCATGGTGCACTTCTTGTTCTACTGTCAACCATTTAGTTGCAGTGTATATTTATCAAAATCAAGCAAAGCAGAACCAAAGACGCTTGCAAGTTTGAGGTTCTCTAAAAAAACGGGATGAGGAAGATGTATTTGGCATGGACCCATGAAAATTACTGAGTTACTGTCCATGAAAATTACTGAGGCATGTGACCCTTTCTTTGAAAGTTGTCTGTGCAATCAAAATTGCTGTCTTTAATGTGCTTTTATATTCATTCTCCCTTGGAGAAAAATTAAAGGAGCTGGAAGGGAGGGGGTGATTTTGATCAGAAAGCCAATTTGTAGACAAAATGTCAAGCGTTTTCTTGGTCCACCTCCAACTTCGGTTCCAGTCAAAGGCTGTCACCCAGCCTGCATTTCAGTAAATGGACTAAACAAACAACATTGTAGGTCTTCTGCATGCCATCTCATTGGTCCCCCACAGTTCTCACGAGCCATCAACAAAAGCTTAGCAGAGAGTCTATCCCTGATAGGTCTCAAGTCAACATGTGCCATATCGCATATCCTTTGTCAGTACTGCTTCCAGGGTATGATGGGAGCCTTGGACAAGGGGCCCCAATAGGCCCACTTTGCCACTGGGGAAAATTCCAGAGAAAACAGTAGAGCATGGAAAAATGGAGCTCACTAGTGGGAAATATGTGGAATAAAGGTTTAAAGTCCACATTTAATTATACTTTAAAAGGATTTTTTAATAAAATGATGTACCATTGGTACCTGACCCCAGATAAATTGTCTAAGATGCATAAAGGAATTTCAAATGTTTGTTGGAATATGGTTTGTTGGAATGGTTTGTGAGGGTACATTTTATCATCCACGGTGGACATGTGAAAAAGCTAAGAAACATTGGGACATGATATGTATTTTGATTCAAAAGATTTTGAAAATAGATTTGCAATTGAAACCAGAGACCTTCCTTTTAGGTATGATGGATAAGCAAGTGGAAAGACAATACAGGAACTTATTTCTCTACATGATAACTGCAGGAAGATTTTTATATGTGCAAAAATGGAAGGATTTACAAATACCTACAGCCGAAGAATGGATATTGAAATTAATGGAA